TTGGGGCAGCACGGAATTTAATCCCCAAAGTATCGAGTATTGATGGAAAAGCGATCGTTATCGAAACGATTCTGTTAGTATAATTAACTGGGCGTGACAAGCACTTAAAAATTTACTTTATTTACTTTGTAAACTATATAAGCAGCTTTCATTCAAACATGGCAATAGTTTAATTTTTCGGAAATCGATTCTTGGTTCTTAATGCAGGTAGTTTAATGCGGGATTACCCCCTTTTTTGACCAGACCATTAAGTAAAATCTCTATTTGAAACCTAGGAATGCGGACCACATTTTCTGCAGACATTTCGATTAAAATGCGTTGCATACTTTTATGCGCATATTCCCACAATCACTCACTCACACACACAGCCACAGATCTCCATCAAGGACTTCAGAGGCACAAATAATTAAGTTTTTTCTCTAACTTTTTTGGCACACTCTGTTAGTTGGTCCTGGTTGTCTCTGTGATCCTGCCCCCCGACACGTAACTTTCAATGGGTAAAAACTTTTTGCATTTTATGTCCTGCACACCAACACACGCAGGAGCACAGGAGCATCAGAACACCCACAGACAAAGAGCGGTGCATAAAATGTTTGTAAGTGACGTTGAAATTGAGACACTTGTCGCTTAATTGTTTTTCGAGTTTCCACACATAAAAAGTGGGATGGCGAGGCAGTCTACGTTCTTTTGTCCCTTTTTGCTGGATGCTGAGACGTGCCAGGGAAATTGAAAAGGGATTTGCCTTTTGCCTTTTTAAGGGGAATCATTTACACTCCTCATTTATAGGGACCTACTGCCATTAGATACCCCCCAGTTTGTACTTCCCGGGATCTGTTCTGTTTGCACGACTTCTTAGACCATCGTTTCTGGGTGGGCGTGGCCCTGGGCCGGATTGCATTCGCCTGTGGTTACTTGTCTGCAGATTATTTTAAGTAATTATCAAGCGATTTGCGTAAAGGTCTTAAGTGTTCTCAACTTCTGAAGAGGTCCCTGATGACGTTGCCGATGATGATGGCGATGGAGGGATGGGCGTGAATTAAACATGTAAATTTAAACAGCTAAGTGGAAGACAGTTGCATGTAATTGCGGTGGCATAGTGCCAGGGCCAAGGAGGAACCACTTTTGTATTCTGCAGCCATGAAAGGGCGAAATTTAATTCCAGTTTGTACCCATCGTGAGTGTCTCAGGATTTTTAGTGACCCCTTATTGATTGTTCCTTACTTAAGATAGGCTTATATAAGCCCTTTTTTTAGACTTCCCAACAGTTTCAAATGCAAACTCGGCATTTTGCACTCACTTGTGCTGATGGATAAACGCTTTACGGTCGGTTAAATTACCCAAACACAGAACATTTAATACAATTTATTGTGGTGTGCGGAATCTATTTCGTTGCGGAGAAGGCAACTGTCTGACTGACTGACTGTCAAGTTATGGCTTCTCCGTGCCGACTGTGTGTGGCTACTGCCCTGTGTTATATAACTTATTACGACCATAATTAACACTAAATTCCCCAAATGGCAACGGACAACTGTCAGCTGCAAAATCATTTGCGGTAAGGAGTCGGAGTAATGTTCGCATGCAGAATGACTGGGATGCGGCTGTCCCTGTTTTTGCTCCCTGTCATGTGGATGTGGACGCAGGATTCGGCTGGATAGTGCCCCTGATCCGTGTCCAAGGACTTCTGCTGACTTATGCGATGCGTCGTGCTGCAGCAAATTATAAAATGTTTGCCCTGCTGCATTTTCCACACATCGCACAAGTCATGTCCAGCAGGCTGCTCGGTTCGCCATAAGACGACGAGTGCTGCTGTGCCCTTCTCGTAATCAAATTAGGAAAACCAAGTTTAATTGGGGTCACTTCTTGCAGATGCAATTTCTAGAGCACTCAGCCAAAATAAATGTTGCCACAATCCCAGCTTACCAGGTTAGACATTATTTGGGTTCGATTTTTAGTTATTTCTCATATCATTTATATATTCTGCTTAATTGTGCCACTACTTAAGATAGTAATGATACTTACTGCGGATTACACCTACATGAAGCTCCTTGCACACTTAATATCCTTGAGGTAAGTTCACAATTTATGTTTAGCAACGAGCAGGACCAAGTCGTTTTCTAGGCCCTGTCAGATAATATTCAATTTAGCATTTCAACCATATTGATTTTGAACATTAATCTGGGGACTAAGACAAGCGATTGTGTCAGTCTCCACACATCCCTGTTGTTATTGGGACTATCCAAGATGGTCCGGGCATTGATGGAGCTTTTCGGACTGCAGGAGCAAACAAACCCTATAATTGAAGGGAGGATGCTGCAAGACTCGGACTCGGAATCGATGCAGAGCCTCTCAAATTCCCAAATCAGTAGGACCCGAATCTCATATATATTACCCAACTTGACAGGGCCCCGCCCACCGCCCACCGCCGCACACATGCAATCGAGTTTTGAGTTGCGAAACCGCAAATACTCGTAGAGAAGCACTCCTTCCAATTGAGTCATCAGGTTTCCTGGGACGGGCGACTAGTTTTGGCGAAGACAATCGTGTTTGGTGTCTGCAAGGGAGCCCATGACGTTTATGATTGCAGCAAACAAAGGCCTCGATGGCTGCACTTGAAATTGATAATTGCGTTCGGCAATATTAGTCCATTATCGCTGCTTGGGCTTTTGAATGCGCATCGAACTGCTTTATTTATTACTCATCAATGGTGTGTGAGTTCTCCAGATAAGATGAAATATTGATGTGCTCACAAGTGGGAAGTCAAAAATATTAACAGAAATTAAATGCCAATTCAATTTGCTCAATTATTTGTGAAAGAAGTTTGCCAGTTTGGCTAAAAGGTCTGTAGCCGGATAAGAAAGTATACTCGACTTCCAACAACCTATCGCTGTTATCAGACAATTTCCCCCCATCTTGTTTGTCCAATGGAAAAGTTTTCAGTATGCAAACGCTTCTATGGCACTCTCAGCCTTTCTCAGTAGGGCCAGGTGTTTTAAGCGGAAAAATATTTTCCTATGTACAAGTTTTATGGCAAGAACAACACAGGCTCGAGCTACAAGCTCGAACTTGGTGTCCTTGGCTACGTTTTGTCACTTATGGCATAGTTACTTGGCTTAAATCTTTTGGATGTATTTTTAAATTTGAAAAAGAAAAAAGGATATCAAGGAACTGTTCAAGTCTTTGTGCTGCAATGAGTAAGGCCTTCTGTGTTTCTTAAACTATATTCACTTGACTTTCCGTTGGCAGTTTGAACTGCAATGCATTCATATATTACGGCTTGCTTAGACAGAAAATTAGTTCGCATCCCTTGCCACCCTTTTTTAGTATCTCAAAGACAATTCATTCCGCAAATGGCTGACTGGAAAAAAATTAAGCCAAATGCGTGACAGTTGGCTAGCCATTTGGCTGCCCCTCGCTGCCGTCTTGTTAACTGAAACTAAACATTACAAACACGACTGTCAACAACTGCAACACTTACCGCATGTCCACGTCCAGCTCGCACTGGGTGACAGGACATGTTGTGGCTGCTGGGGCTGCCCGGTTGCCCAGCCCACCCACAACCGCTCATATTTGTGTATAGGGACACACACCGATGGGTCCACCCAACTACTGCCGCTTTTTGCGGGGAGAGGACCTTGCTTAATTGGTCAAGTGCATTTTAGAAGTGCTGCTACTACTCCAGGTTTGGCTTGGCCATGGTGAGGTAACTAAATAAATAGGAAAAAGCTGAAATACAATTTCCTCTTACGTATCGTATAAACACTCGAATTGTGATACATATACCTGGATTAGCTTCATTAAAGGACTTTGGAACAGTACTGCCTTTAAAAATTGTAATATATTTGTTTTGCTCGTGATTATAGCAGTCACGATTTTGAAAATCTGTGGGAAATGACAGCTTGGCAGTTTTTTAAGGCACGTCATATTGGGTTCACGTTTTTCGGTAACTTTATCGCAAATACTTCCATGAAAACAGCCGCCTCGCTGGCCAACTTTTCTGGCCATTCTTTTGGCTTTCCTCTGACAGCTGGCCACGCCCCCGCCACTGACATGTTCCACTTGCCAAATATAGTTATATATAGATATATGTATAACCTACTCATTCGAGTACCTTTCATCGCTGGTATGCCTTAGGCCAATTCATAAATTAGACTTTGCATGCAATTTCGAGTGATTTTCCATGCCCCCCCTCTTCCCCTTCCCACTTCCTGTGCCCAGCTATATGTTTTTGTTGGTTTCCGTTCTGCCGCATTGAACATGCAATTTATGGGAGCACAAATTTTATTTGAATTACAAAAAATAAAACCGAAAATAGCGGAAGGGAATCAAATATGTTTTTACCAATTTCTGGACGATTATCAAGAAAAATAGCAAAAAAAAAAAAAAAGAAAAATAACGCGTGGCCCAATTTAAACATTTTCTCTTTGCCGCTGTTCGGACAAATAAATTCAATAATTTATTGCCGAAAAATAGCTTGCTATGCCCGAGATAACAGCTGTAGCAAATATTTAATCAAAATGCTGTGTACAATTTAAAGTGGGCTGCAAATAAAAGAGGAGGGCTCGATAAAAAAGCAAAACAAAAGGATGGTCCCCAGGGGCGAAATGTGAACTGTATTATCACCTCAAATGTGTGTAATAAAGTGCCGAGAAGGCCTCCCTCCACAATTGCCAACATGACGCAAAGGCGGCAAGAGCGCGAAGGGTAGTATATGACAAAGGGCAGCCCCGCATCCCGCCACCCAGTCTCCGATTTCGACCAGGACAAAGAACCCGGCCAATGAAGTAATCATTGTGCGCCAGACAAGCTAACATACAGACATACAGCGATTGGGGAGCGGCGGCCACATGCGCAAATAAATAAATTACCCGTGGGCTCAAATCAGCCACTCGACCCAAAAGGTAATTCAAGATTCCACGATATTGAATTTTCTGCAAACAAGATTCTAAGCCTTTAAGGATACGCTTTAAAGTTGCTGACGATACATCAAAAAAGTTATAAGAAGGCCTAGAGAAATAAAGTACGTTTAATTGGAGTTGCCAATACCGAACACAAATTTCTTTCTTTAAAATAACCATTTAAATAAAAATTCTTATTTGGGATGTCGAAGCCGACAAGCTTAAAGGACGCATTGGCCAAGTGGGAGGACCGCAATAAGCAACCAGCCAACACAGCCAAGGAGATTGGACTTCAGTTCCAGTATCCGCCGATCGAGAAAATGGATCCGATTCTCAACAGCCTAACCGAGTGCCAAAAGCTCAGCTTGTCCTCAAATATGATTGAGAAGATTACTGGCATTTCGGGAATGAAGAACCTGAGGGTCCTGAGCCTGGCACGTAATAACCTTAAGACGCTCAACGGCATAGAACCACTGGCCGATACCCTGGAGGAATTGTGGGTCAGCTACAACAACATTGAGAAGATCAAGCCCCTGGAATCGATGAAGGCTCTGCGTGTCTTCTACATATCCTTCAACATGATCAAGGACTGGGCGGAGTTCATGCGCATGGGTGTGCCAGCCAATCTCAGCGAGATCACCTTTGTGGGAAACCCATTGAACGAGAACATGGATCCGTCTGCCTTCCTTGCCGAGGCAGTGCGTCGTCTGCCCAACATGAAGAAGCTCGATGGGGAGCCTGTCATTCGTTAGGGAAAACAAGCTTACACGGATGTGTTGTGTTCGGTTGTGTTTGAAATAAAGGAGAGTCGAAAGTCGAACAGGTCCTTTGACCTTAGTGCTCGACTAAATCACAGACGACAATACATGGCTAGAATCCAGAATTCCTTCGACAGCTGAACGTATGTGATAGGCATTTAAGCAGAAAACATGTTCCATTGAATTGTCAGCACAGAAGTGTTCTTCCAATTTTCAATGCGTTCCCGTTGCTGCTGATGAGCTCCATTGTTTTGCCTGTCGCATGTTGCCTCCGACTTCTAACACAAGTCAATTTAAAAAGTTGTTTTGTGGGCACTGTAGGTACTCTGAACTGAACTGGTGTATTAAAACCGAATTTAAAATGTGAATGTGTTCCACAGATTTAAATATTTTCAATTAATAAATGCATTTTTAATTAATTATTAAAATTAAAAGGTATTTCTAATCAGCAGCTTGAACTCCTGTTTTCATGTACATTGCTTGCATTTTTTGCATATTTAGGAGATGTGATTTAATGAGCTTGTCTTTCTGTAAAAGCAAATGCCTGTGCCGGAATTTAAGGTAAATCACTGGATTATAAATATCAACAGCAAGTAATTTATCCACAAACACCAATTAAATTTTTATATTGAAGCATAAGCCAACAAGAAAATTTAAAAATAGCCAAGTCAATTGAAGCCTGAAGAGTGCTATAATTTCGACTGGATGTGCTTTCTGTCGGCACATGGTATTTGTTTTCCGTGCATAAATAATCAACAATAGTCAATGGATGGGGATGGCGGACAGTCATAGATTTTTGGCAAACAGAATGCGAATTTGTGTCTGCCAAACCGAAAGACACCAGATAAAAATGTTGAATAAAATCATAAAAACGGCAGCCAAATCCCTGCCGAACCCTAAGCAAACCAATGCAAACCAAACCAATTGCCAGACACGAAAGTTTAATGATACTTTTATGTCTTTTCGATTTAACAACTTCTCTATTATGGCTGTTCTGGCTGCTGCTGCTGTTTGTATTTGATAAACAATAATATTAATGTAAACATGAAGGCCGTCCATAGTTCGACATTTTGGCAGACAAACAGAAAACGAGACAATTGTACAATTGGTTGAACACAAAAATATTTTCTGGCAGCCATACTTGTCGCTTGGCTGATTAGGCGATAAACCTCTCCGAGTATAAACCTCTTTTAAAGTGTAAAGTAAAATTCCATATTTGTGTGATTGCATTGATTTTTTGTTATTGTGGTTGCACATTTTATTTGATACATACTTGATTATTTGGTTTTTGCTTTAAAAGTCCTTTACATGTGAAAATTAGTAAACTATTTAAATTAATAAACTATTATTTAAAATGTTGCTTAATCTTCAAGTTTTTGTTTTGCCTTCAAATCATTTTTAAACTTTATCGCATTAATATATAATGAGGGGTGGGAATTTGCTTCGTTAAGTTGTCTGGCTAGTGGGTGTTGGGTGACTAGATAATCTGGCTTTGTTTTTGACTGAACATATAGGAAAAGTTGAAAAGTTACCTCAAAAAATAGCCGCTCCTCCTGCAATTGAAAAATATTGTGGCACCCATCTTAATGCCAAATGCCGAAACAGTTTGGGGGTGTGTGTTTGCGAGGGCTTATACTAAATTTACGTTACAAGTTTGTGTGGCCAGCTCTGGCCCATGCTGTTTTCTGGTCGTTGGCAACTCTGGCAATGACAACACCGAACCGAACTACAACGTTCTCTTCCCAGAACAATCCCGCCAGGATATGTATGTTGGTCAGGACGGGCATGGGAGTGGGAGTGGGAGTGAGGATGGGGATGGGTGGGCGAAACTTGGAGTGGTTTTTGCGCTGTGGTTGCGCAATCGTCTGTGTTTGTGCTCTGCGGGCCGGGTTTTATTTTTCACATTTTTGCACTTGCTGTGGTCAAGGGTTGTGTCGGTGTTGCCAAAGTGTTGCCATATATTCTAAATATGTTGGTTCGCCCTTGTTGGCCAGTTGCGGCGGCAAAACGTAAGAGTGGCTAAAACGACAGTTAAACGCAAAACGGTCGAAAAAGCCACTTGGCAAACTAAACGCGTGATTTATGCCCCAACAATGATAAGAGAAAGCAGGGCATAAAAGGCGTCGAGCGTTTACAGACGGCCAAGCAGGTGAAAAGAAAAAAAAGGGGGAAAAAAACGTATCTTTAATTCAAAATGTAAAATTACACAACTGAAGCTTTAAAACTTTAAATAAAGTTGTACTAGTTAAATAGGAATTCAACTCATCTTTTACTTTCCTGAGACCATATATTACTTGGAGAGTGTCTGGGTCAGTACCAGATCTTTAAGTCACTTTAAGCTCGCCCATTCTTTCGAGCAAGACTTTCCTAGAGATTCGCATTCACATCTTGTGCCTGTCAAAGGCGCATAAATCTATTCAAAGTCTTTACGAAAAATCCAGACAAATGCCAGAGATTACAAAAAGATTTCGGCCCACATGATGCATGGTGCCTCGGGCAATGAGAGGGCTGAGAAGGTGGAGCTGGAGGTCCTCGTGGCGAGAATCCATGTGTGTAGGTCTATCTGGCACCACAAATGTAACCGAGCGACGCACACAAAAACAATTAAAGCCTGATTAATAGTTGCAGCCCACATCCGCCAGCCGTTCCACCTTTCGGCAAGTTCTCTTGGCCCCAAATCTCGTCCACATCCGCATCCTACTCAGGCTGCCACTGAGGCTGAGTTATGACTTTTGCTGGCTGTTTAGCATACTTTTAGGCTTCAGACATTGTTGGCCCGCATGGGTGTGAGTGCGTGTGGTCCTCGCTCGCGCATAAGTCAAATTGTTGTTAATTTCACAAGGTTTTAACCCTTAAACCAGAATAGCAGCAGGGACATAACATAAATTCATTTGCATCCGCCCAAGGGTCTCACGACCGCCATTCAAGCCGCTCTCGCCCATTGAAACATTGTATAAATCATTAAATTTTAATGCTTCCCAGGAGATCAATGAACATGACCGCAAATTATACTGAAGCGTGCTTTCAGGCGCATAAAAAGATTTCCCGGCATAAAATGCATTTAATGCAAACAAAAAAAGCAATCATAAAAAGTTTCTGGTTTGAAGTAGCAGTTTGTGCGGGTGTCTGCCTGTCTGTCTCTACCCAGCAGCAAAAGGCAAACATAGTAATGATATTGCATTGGATGAGTGAGTGTCTAGACTTTAAATGCGTGGAGATGGGCAGCAATTTAATGTGAAACAAGGCATGTTTCCCAATTTTAATTATCTATATCACTGTCTTAACGTATAAAGTGGAAAGCAGACCAAAGTGCAAGAGCTCTAAAATAAGATTAATACATAGCATCCATCCAAAAAATGAACAAGTTTATAAGAAATGCAAAGTAAATTAAGTTGAAATAAGGCAGCTCTTCACTTCAAATGTATTTTTATTAACACTGTTGTCATGGCAACTTCCTGTTGCGAACTGCACTTCCGGCGCCTTAAAGCATGCACTACAAGATGAAACATGGCATGAACAAACCAAAGGCTTGCATATGCAAACGTGCACTCAGATAGTAAATCAAAAAGTTGTGCAGTGCGAAATAGAAACGAGCAAGCCCTCTCGTTCAGGCTGCACTTGTATCTACTCGTACTTATTTTAACGGCATCTGCAGACACGCCCTCTTCGAGGTACTCCTACCAGCGTATTTGACATGAGAAATCATAAACAAGTTGTGCAAACTTCTGCTGGCGCACACAAAACTCCATTTTGCAACAGGAAGTCGCACGCACACTGCCCCTCACCCATACAGACATAGCTGCAAATGTATAAATTAAAATTTTCGCATCGCGCAGTGGCCACCAAAAAGATGAGGCCCTGCTGCAAGGATGGGGCATCGCAGCTGGGGGATGGTGAGTTTTGCATTCGTCCTCAGTGGAAGGGAATATACTTTACACTGTGGAAAATAACACAGGGAAAGGCCATTAATTAAAGTACGATTTTGTCCTGAAACAATGGTGATTGCGGATAGTCAAAACAACACTAACTTAACTTGTGAAGCTTAAGAATAATATTTAAGCTACTTAGCAGATTACAGTCATACAAAAAAATAGTCGTAGTAATATTAGCATAATAAAAAAAAGTGTAATAAATAATGAACCGCTCCTACATCTACGTAATAAAATACATTGTTGTTAAAACGATTTAAATAAAGAAAGAACCAAATTATCCAGAGCACAAACTAGCTCTGCAAAACCTGTAATTTCTATTTCAAATTTTTCATTCGGAGCTGGATTTGCGTCAGAGTTGCCGCTCCTTCGTGTGTCTGCGTATTTTGTTTATGCGTCTTACACAAATAGTTTTACATATTTAAATATTACAGTTTTTGCTGTGCTCTGCATCATGGGCATCTTGGGCAGGACTTTGCTGCCCCTTTGTCTACGCCCAAGGTCCTTGCCCGGGCACTCCCTTCATATTATGTTTTCTGAATAACAATTAGCTTCCGCTTTAAGCCGGGGTCTCACAATCCTTCTGCTGCCGCATGGCGTATGTTTAATTTCCGGTATTGCGCATACGCCTAGTATTCATAAACAGCATTTAATTTCACACAATTCTGCATTAATTTCGAGAGATTTGCCAGCTTTGCAGTCGAATGTTCTTCCCTTCACTTGCTGCTGGAAATACTATTAATGCTGTGATTAATTGTCATGTCTGAGGAACAATCAGAAAGGACAATTTGTTTTCACTGACAACAGACTGTCACCGAGCTGATAAGAGTATGAAATTCTTCTTGGTCTGCGACAACTTGGTATTCCGGACAAAAGCTCGGGAAATATTTGGATTTGCCTCCCCGGGCATCGTAGCAAAAACACAAATTAAGGACAAATTTTGAAGGACCGACTGGCTTCGACTAACAATTTGCGAACTATAAATTCTGCAGAATGCGAACCACCGCCGCTGCACAGCACACAAATCTTCAGCAATAACAATCTCTCGGCTTATAAAATTCAATTATGCATATTTCGGGGCTCACGTGATGGTCGTACGATGACAAACATCCTTAACCACTTGTCCATACTGCAATGCAAATTCGGTAATATCGAGCTCAGCATTTATTAGACATTTT